CTCTCACATACAGCATCTCCTTGTGTAAAGTGTGCTGAATAGTTGAACGATGCACAGTGACTCCATCAGCAGCAAGATGATGTTGTAGGTCTTTGGTGCTGGTCTGTGGGTTGACTCTGACTGTTCTCAACATCCTTCACTTCTGTTTATTCCAGATTTTTCTTGGTCTACCACTTAGAGCCTACACTTGAACTGTGCCTGTGATCCTCCATTTTCTCACAGTGTTTCTCACAGTGGAGACTGAAAGCTGAAATCTCTGAGATAGTGTTCTGTATCCTTCCCCTAAACCATGACGGTGAACAATCTTTGTTTTCAGSTCATTTGAAAGTTGTTTTGAGACTCCCATGATGCCACTCTTCAGAGAAGATGCAAAGAGGAGAAAAACCTACAATTGCCTCCTTTAAATACCCTTTCTCATAACTGGAGTCACCTGTGTATGGAGGTCAAGGGTCAGTGAACTTACCAAACCAAATCTGAGTTCCAGTATTTTGTTCTAAAGGTTTTGAAATCAATAAAATAAAAACGGTGCCCAAATTTATGCACATGCCTAATTTTGTTTAACTAATTATTGCACACTTTCTGTAAATCATATCAGCTTCATTTCACTTCTCAAATATCACTGTGTTTGTCCCCTATATGACATATTTAACTGATTTTCTTTATCCAATCAATGATTTATAAAGGTAAATCAGGAAAATTAACAAGGCTGCCCAAACGTTTTCATTTGACTGTATATCAGCATCATACTCTGGGATGCAGATTATTCACCCTCCTTGTTTTTTTTTTTTCAACTTTGCTGGTATAATATCTTTGTTGTGATATCAGATTTTTGAAAAAAATGCACACAATTGACATGATCAGTTGAGATGTTTGCATGTGCACTAACAGGAAGTGACGACAGAGGGGATCGTCTGCATGTGAACAGAACGTTGCTACAGTGGCCAACATCACAGTCTGTAGAGAAGCATCTGATGTTTCTTTGGATTGTTTTGAGTCACTACTGTGGTGGTATGCTGAGTCAGGGAAGTCACCAATATTGTATTTTAACTCCTTTAATATTGAACAAAACACCTTGAACAAAATATTCACATACGAGCAGATCACTGAGCAGTGCGTGGCGTCTCGTGTCCTTTTTGGTTCCTCCCACTTCCCCGTCTCATCTCAACGTAACCTTCCACATAAACTAGTGCCATTACATTACACACGTTGTCATCTGTCTTTTACTTTGTTTACTCCTTGTTAACTATGGATCATTCAGGATCTACTCATTGTAACCACTCTTCAGATGTGCACAGTTTAAAGGAGACCTATTATGGGTTCCTAGAACAAGTTAGGATCCATCTCTGGGCTCTACAAAACATGTTCATTTGGTTTAATTCACAAAATTAATGTCAGAAAATGAAATTTCACCTTTTTAGTTCTGCCTGTTCTGAGCTCTCATCAGAACCTGCTGCTTGCATGAGTTGTTATGGAAATCCCCTCCCCACCTG